GTTGCCTAATGTATAGCCATTGGTCTTCACTGTGCCCTAGACTAACAGCTACCGCTCGAAACCCACAGTTTCCATCATCGAGTACATCTTGTATCTTGTCGATGTAATCATGAAATACATCAGGAATACTCTTCATTAGGAATGGATCATGCATTCGTGGTTCTTCATTTAAGTCAATGGCGTACGAATAATTATGCCTTTCAGGTTCTTTATTTAAATCCAACCCAATGAACTCTGATGTGGTAGAGTCATTGCATCTAGGAGGAGCTTGATTTGGAGGGTTGACATTCTTTTTATGTTGTTTCTTCATACTCGGCCGTCCGCGAGTCTTATTTTGAACTGTAGGTTCTCCAACATCAATTGTGCGCGGATCGTATATCTCTTTTAGTTTTTTCAAATAAATTTTTTTTCCTGTTTCTGTCTGCTTGTTGAAATTTTCTTTATACTTTTCAACTTCATCGTCGCAACAAATATTGCTTTTTTTTTCAGGCTTCGTATCAAAAATACTAAGCTTTCTCCAAAAGATATCTATTAAATCCAAGGGTATTTCTTCACCTGTATTAAAATACAAAATAAATATTTTTGTAATATTTAAAAATTTATATATGTTGTAATTGAACATACTAACCTGAGCTTAAGTAAACAGAAAGCATGCAAGCACATGGTAACCCACAACTGGTACGGACTTTGCAACCACAATTTGAGGAGTCTAACTTTGACACATTTAACCTTTGGAGCTCTCCTACTATTATATCAAGAGCTTCGTTTGAAACAGAACCTCTTAGTAACCCGAAGCAGTACAAATTATGATGCTTATATCGGAAAATTAAGCTTTTCTCAAAGCTTTCATTGATTGAAGTGAGTTGTGATTGCACAATTTCATTAATTCGTTGCACAAATCTATCGAGATTAGAACTTGCAGAGTCCAAAAATCTCTTTAAATTGGCATGTGCACTCTCGGCTCTATTGGTTGTGTTGTTTCCAAAATTAAGATGTTGATCAATCCAAACAGATACAAACATTTCTTTGTAGTTGTTCAACTAAGTATCTTCTATGTATTTCAAAACACCTGAATGTTGTGATTTAGAAGTATAGTTAACAAATACGTAAATAAATAATCATATGAAGGTTATGATTTAGAAATATCGCTAAAAAACAAGCTTACGTGGATATTTTATCAACATTGATTGAAGTCACATGTAGTTTTTCGTGTAATCCATCAATGTTGGAGAATCATTTAGTAAGTTCCATAATGATCTAAAAGAGCGTCGATCATCTTCCAACGTGATACTTTTATTGCAATGCTTCAAAATGTTTTGTTCAATATGCCATCTACAAAGTAATCGGGCAGCATCCGGAAAAATTGTTTCACATGCCTTGATGAGTGCCAACTCTCTGTCTGTGATTATTACACGTGGGTGCATACATGTATCAAGCGTCGAATTTAGACAATTTAACACCCAAGTATAGTTGGCCTCCTTTTCCCTATGTATAAAGGCAAAGCCTACAGAGAATGTCTTTTGAGTTGATGTAACACCAACAATTTGCACCAACGGCTTGTTATATTTGTTGGTTTTATACGTGGCATCTATTATCAACACATGTGGAAATGCACGCCATATCTTCCAAGACGTTGGATGAACGAAGAATAAATTTTCTAACTCATTTGAATCGCCTATAGTAAACTCATAAACATAATCATTGGTGTGTAAAAGGGACATAAGAACCTGCATTGGAGTTCTTCCTGCTTGCTCGTGCATCCGAATCTTTTGTTGTGCATTGTATATTGTTTTAATTGTCGACACATTGTTTTCGTTTTGAACCTTCAATGCTGATAGGATGTCACGTGACGCCACGTTCTTTCTTGTTAAATTAGCCACCAAACGAGTCTCATCGACTGATAACCGTCTTGCAAATGGATGACCTTCCATATGTTGTGCCGGTGGATGATTATGTTCATCACATATTACTCTTAGCGTCCATTTATCATGTTCTTTTGAATACTTTCCTTCCAACTGAAATTGACAATTAGTCCTTTTGCTTCCAGATGCTCTACTTGTATACTCTTTAGGTTTATACTCTCTGCCACGATCACATATAAGTATAACTGTATGCACGTAGCCGTTCCCATATGCCTTTGATCTTCTAGTAACAATGACATATCCTAAAGAACGTTCGGTGTTTTGTGTCCACTCCAATGATTCCTCACGAGACTTGAACTTCTGCAATCAAATTTCAAGTGATTTAGTATATATGTTGTATTTGAAAGCATAATAATTGATATAATTATATAACCTGATTGGTAGAAAATGCCGAAGTTTTTGTAGAAAAATCTTGAGTAAATTATACGAATGGTCCCTATGGTTTGTGGTAATTTGCACGTTTGGTCCCTAATTTACTTTTTTAACTCGGAAGGTCCCTACTGTTTGTTTTTGTTACGCGTTTGGTCCCTTCTATTTGTGTTTGTTACGCGCTTGGTCCCTGTCTTACCTAAAAAGACTATTATTTGAATATGGAAAAATGATGGGATAGGTAGGGTAAGGTGAGGAGAGTAGGGTTGAGAGTGTGTTTATTTAAATAAATTAAAAAATCAGGGGCAAAATAGTCTTTTTAGGTAAGACAGGGACCAAACGTGTAACAAAAACAAACAATAGGGACCTTCCGAGTTAAAAAAATAAGTTAGGGACCAAACGTGCAAATTACCCTAAACCATAGGGACCATTCGTGTAATTTACTCAAAAATCTTTATCTCTAGCCGACAAGTTGATTCCAAAAAACTTAAACATCTCTAAATAAAAAAAAAAAAAAAAAAACAAAAAAAACAAAAAAAACAAAAAAAACAAGATAAATAATTAGAATATTGCACAAATATAAAAATGAGAAATACATAAAAATAAATATTTTATAAAATTTTAATACTAAAAAAAACTTATTTAAATAACTTTTATAAGAAAAGACCTATTTTTTTAAAAATATATATATAACTTCCGTTTTTTTTAAAGCCCACCATTTTAAGCCCAATTCAATATTTTTAATACCCTAAACCATCTATATAAATTAGAAAATAAACCCTAAAATCATAAACTATTATTAGCCGTCATCAAAAATTCTCTCATCCCCACAAATCTGTGAGCACGAGCAACCTCCATCTTCGTTCGACCAGGAGCCGCGACCACTTCCACCACCGGCAGCAACATCTATTTTCCGATCACGGTTACAACCAAAGTGAAAACGACGACCACCACCCCCTCTCCTCTAGCCCATTTCTTTCTTGATCTCTCCACCAACGAATCTGTCTCATCTCTTTCTCCTTACATTTCCGACAACACCCAAACATCCCACTCATCTCCTTCACCCGTATTTGTCCCTCCCTCATCTCTTTCTCCTTCAAAAACTTCGACATTTGGACCACCACCTATCGATTTCTCTCCCTCTCTCCCTTTTTCTCTCCCTCTCCCTCCCTCTCTCTCTCTCTCTCTCTCTCTCTCTCTCTTTCTCTTATTTTCTGTTATGACCGGATGTTGTAGAAACACCACCGGTGGTCGGACCGGAGGTGGTTACGGCGGTGTTCAGTGGAGGTGTTAGGTTGCGTTGGATAATAAGAGTGGGCAGAAAATATATTTACAAGCATTTCCATTTTACCTTAAGTTTAAAAACAGAAGCTATTGTTTGTTTACATTAAAAATGTATGTTTTGATTTTATATTAGATATGTGTTATAGTTGGATTAGTTGACAATTAATTGGCTATTAAGAGGATACATATTTCAATGTTTGAAATTTATAGATAATTGTAAAGATCAAAATTGTATTTGTAAGTATCGATATTGAATTTGTTATAAAATTAAATAAGATGGTTAGGTTATTTATTCGTTCAATGATTTCTTTTACAGAAAAAGAAAAAGCTGAAAAATATTAAATTTGCAGAGTCAAACAATTTAATTTCCTAGGTATTAAAAAAATCATCATTTTGACTAAAAAATATCATAATTACAAGTCCTATTAGGAAATATGGGGTCCAAATAGGAGGACCCTTTTGAAAAAGGGTTCAAAATGTTGAGTCGTAAATATAGGTATAGGCTACCAGTGATACCTCTGTTTTCCCCCATTGGGTGCTGACTGACAGTCCTAGCTCAGGTTGACCACTATTTTTACCAAACCCCTTTTTCTTGGTCAAACTCACCTGTCCCACTTTCCTTAATCTTACTTATTATATATTTATTTATTTAAAACGTCTTCGATATATATATATATATATATATATATATATATATATATATATATATATATATATATATATATATATATATATATATATATATATATAGAGAGAGAGAGAGAGAGAGAGAAGAGGATGATTTTATTTAGAACCAAAAAATTTGTAATAACCTAACTATGATAATTAATTCACCATTTAAAAAAAACATCAATCTTTTTTAAATTGTGCTTCTAAATTACATTTAGGCTCAATTTTTTTATTTTTACAATTTTATGTTTTTTTTAGAAATATGGATTTGTGCATAATCAACAATCCATGTAACTGTTAATTGTGTTAATTGTCCATAGGTGCAAATCTCCAAAATGAATAAAAAAATTTGTAAATATTTTTTAGCCTAAATATGATTTAGATCTATCATTTAAAGAATATTGATATTTTTGATTTTGAAAAATAATGAGTGAATTAAGAGTTCGAAAATTTTGATATGTTTTTTGTTCGCGCGCACAATAACTTAGAGTATATATATATATATATATATATATATATATATATATATATATATATATATATATATATTACCGTAAATCACCTTATTTAGTTTTGAAATTATTGTTATTGGTTGAAATTTCATTGATTTTAAAAAAAAAAATCTTAATATTCAATACCAAGCAAAAGAAGGTGAAGATATATAAAATATTTGTTACACATGAAAAATTAGTTGCATGTTATTGAAACGATATAAAAATGCGTGCAAAACAATTTCATCCAACCAACAGAATATAAAGGAATTTATATAAACAAGGGGCTAGAGTGGAGGAATCGTATTCTTGACATGTCTTTTATAAAAATACTCGAACACAAACATCAAAACCTTGAAAATCTCACAAAAACACATGACACACTCCCTGCTATGTATCTTTTAACTCTCAAATTAATTTAATATGCAACTTCCTTTCTTGGACTTGCTTGTTACTTTGCGCTTCAGAACCCTTTTTTCAACTAATGAATAAATATGTCTATATTAACAATCACTCTTTCTTAATTCCTTTGATTTTTACATATTTAATCGTTATACTTTTATCAGGTTTCCTTTTCTGATCCATACACAGTTAACGACACACATGTACCTACTACTTTTTATTGTATTTAATAGGTAAAAGGGTTAAAAAAAAACTGAATTATCGAGGAAAAACAAAAAGAAAAGATTAGAAGGCTTCCTGTTTTCAAAAATTCATATAACCACTTAATGTGGATTCCTCCATGTATCCATCTTAATTAAATGGTGGTAACCTACTACCTACCTAATAATCAAAAGACTCAGTTTCTCAAACTTAACAGTACCAAGGAATTACAAACTGGTTTCAACGAATTCTGCCCCATCATCCAACGTTTGTTGAGGAGGACCAAAGTCATCCTCCATGGAATCATGTTCAATACTTTCTTCTTCCTTTTTATGGATTCGCTGCTGAGATTTGTTGTGCTTTTTACTCATGTGGATGCTGCATACCGTCCATTCTTCCATCTTCAATAAGAAACTCCGAATATCAAATAACAGAAATATTACACATATTTAATTAACCAAATCAATGAAACACACGTACGTATGTACGTACGTACCTTGTTTGGTAAGGGATATAGAAGCCGGAACTGATGCAAGATCCATGGGGTCCTGGAGCGGCGTTGATTGGAAATTTGGTAGAAAACAAAGCATTTCTTGAAACCGATAGGATGGTTGCAACCAGGAGCTAAAATGAACTTGTGGCTGTTAATGATGGGTTTCCAGAATCCGGCTGGATTGGAAAAGGGACGGTGGGAACTTGTTTTGCAGAAGAAATACTTTTTCTCCTTGGGGTTACCTGGAAACACACATGAAAAACTCAATCTCTAACAGAAATAAAAGAATGGAAGGAAGGGTACTGGTAGCGACGTACGTACCTGGTAGACGTGATGGATGGTGGAGGAAGAGGTGGTGGGCGTGGAGGATGGCCGTGGCCGGCAAAGGGAAGGAGAATACCTTGGGGCGCAGGTAATGGATGATGATCTCTTCGTCTGTAGGACGAAAACGATATCCAATCGGCATCTGAATCTTCCGAATTGCCGTCGTGCGGCTGGTCTCGAGGGTATCTTCCATCTCCATGTGCGGATGGATGGATCGAGCTGTAAATGACAACCACAATCAAAGAGGACTCGGATGTGAACAAGACAAGTATTTATCAGAAAATTAACTAAAAAGTCTTGTTTCCCTTTTCCTAGACATATAAAATAATAATTTGTAGGATAAATTATTAAAAATGAAGACAAGTTCTAGCGGTAACAAAACGACAAAAAGGCCTGACAGAGATAAGACCATTCTAATAAATGGAATGTGAATGATAATATGGAGTAGAGTTAAATGTACGAATTGAATAGAAAAAATAAAATGATGGTTAATAGGTTGTGAGTGGTGTTGGATAGATGTTTAATGGATGATATGATAATTCATTGAACTTTATAGTTTATAGTTCAAAGGATTATGGATGCCCTAATGAAAAATAAGTAATTTATTAATAGTAATCAATTTGTTTTTTTTTTTTTATTTGAAAAAAATAACCATTATTTTTGGAATAGAGCATTCCAAAGAAGTATTATACATTCTGGAGTAGTCGGTAATAGGTATAGTTTAGAATCTAAAATCTAAGACCGTACATTTTGGTTATAGTTTAAAATCTAAAATCTAAGACCGTACATTTTGGTTTGATATAATCAATTTCGGAGTAAGGTAGTCAAAATTGTATATGTAGAGTTGACATTCCAGACTAACATCCCGAACACTATTCCGGATAATAAAAAACTAGGTTTTCATCCTCTATATGACATGTGGTATTCCATTTAGTTATTCACTTACAACCAAGATCTATAATTCTCTATTATAACTGCTTGAACATGAGATTTTCAGACAACGACCAAGAAGAAAGTTTTACCAACTTGCATGTTTATCCTGCACAACCTTAGGCGAACGAACCCCCATAATTACACAAACATCAAAATTGATGTTATGGATCATTTCCAACTCTATTTTGTGGCTATTGGACGTGTGGTAAAATAACTTTGTTCCGAATTTTAAATGTTTATTTAAAATCTATTAAGTTTTACAACTAATTGTTTTGTTTTCCCAAAAAATTACAGCTCCAAGCATTCCTAGGTTGTTTATTGTTTGTCGTCTCTATAGGTAGTGTCCCTCTAAAGAGGGAACCACCTACAACAATGTTCATAGCAGTTGCTATGGACGGAATCAACCAGACCTTGCATATAGTATTCTATCTGGGCGTGGCAAATAATGTCAACTCTTGTACATGGTTCCTGATGAGGTTGAATGTAACGCTCACAGATTTGTGCTAGTCAATTTAGAGACAATAAACGTTAAAAGTGATTTTTTGATAGAAGATTATTTAGAATAAATAGTCTTAACCAACGTATAGTATATATCACAAGGATTTCGTACATATAAAGAACGCTGAAATCAGACTTTTAAAGAAAATATTATGACCCGTCGAAGTTTTACGATTAAACCGGCACGACGCCGTGTATCGTAAAAAGTGAATTTTTGATAAGCTACTTATTAGCCTTAGAAATATAAACGAAATTCGAAGTATATGTTAAACCGAGAACGTACATAAAAAGAACGTCCAAATCTGACTTCGTTTGAGAAAGTTATGGTTTTTCTAAGATTTAGCACAACAGTACACAACCTGGAAATCGAATTTTAGACTTATCAATTATTAGTCGACACAACCTAAGTGAGAATTGTAGATCTCATTAATAGGAGCTCAACCATATAAAGAAAGTAAAAAACGGACATCGGATGATAAAATTATGAATTTTGAACGGACTTTAAGTGTTTAAGCCTGTTAAAATATAACTTTAAAAATAAATTCAAAATTAGCTAATGGAGTCTAAACGAAAGTTATAGATCATGTTGATACTTATGTGTGGATATAAAAAACGTCAAAAACCGAGCTCGTATGCGAAAGTTACGAATTTTAGAAGATAATTAACTTTTCTATTAAGTTTCGGAGGTGGCACGTGTCACCATCACAGCCACACCTTCTACCCCATAGCTTGCACGCGGTCACCACACCTGGCACTTCCACACTCCGTCTTCAACACTAAAACACTCCGTGTTGCAAAATTTCACAACCTACAAATAGAGGCGCAAATCACTCTATTTCTCACACCATTCTAACCTATTCTCTCCCAACACCCCCAAACCCTTAAGACCTTTCCCTAGCACCTCCTAGGTGTTAGTAGCAAGTCTCGGAGAACCAGGAGGCCCTGAGGATAAGAGCTTTTGGCTCAGAAGCTCTTCCCGTGTAGAGCCCGGTTCCTCACTAAACCCCCTTGTAAGTGAGTTATGTTTACCCTACTTTAAGTATAACTTATGGTTAAGTTCATTATCGTTATTATTAACCTATAAAAAAGATTTATCAGTGATTCCAAGTTGTTATACTGATTGATCTATTTACGGAGATGATGTCTAGGCTGTGATTTAGTGAGGTGTTTAAAGTGGGATTTCCAAACAGTATACTTCGCATACCAAACGGACCCTACCTCCGATATGATCCTACCTGGTTGTTCCTTACATGATAGATCTTGTAGTAGACTTTGAATTAATGATGAATATAGAATAATAATTAGTTGCAATAAATATTAGACTAAGACTTAGCGATAATAATGCTAGGTTACGTCAAAGGAAAAGACAATTGCTAGAAGCGAAACGCTACTCGAATTTTGAGTCGTCACTTTAACAAGTGAGTGCATAGTTCATTTCATGAGCATGATTTTAATACAAATATTAATAAAAATAGTAAATAGATGTTGAAAGTTAATATGTGAGTTATATGCTTATTATTTGGAAATATGTGTTATATGCATATTTGATGATATACGTTATGCGAACCATGCTTGGTTTTTTATGTGTTGAGATGTATGTATATGATAATAATAATAATATAAGTATTATAAATGAGAAGATAAATTTATATTAATACTTAATACTATGTATAAAATATTACACTAAATTAGGATAATGTTTCTGAAACATAGTTAGTATTGAAAGTTAATTATAAGCATTGTAGTCTTGCTTAGTGATGAAATAAGACTTAAAAGTGATGATTAGTTAAATTAAGTTCGGATATTAAATAGTATCTTATTAAGGGTACGTGTGTTATCAGAATGGAGAGTAGAAACTCTGTTCGAGGAGACCGATGATCGGTGAAGTATGCCCTACATACAAAAGTACTTTCTATGTACCAATTCTTTTTCAAAGCTTTATGTCTTAGGTGTTGCTTATGCCGGGGTATTATTATGTACTGGGTACAAGTCCTACTCATACCAGGGGTACTATAATGTGTCATAAGTACTATCATGTACAAAGTCTTTTTTTAACACTATTATGTGTCGGGGTACGCGAGCGTATGAGGGTACTTTATTCCCCATACTTTTTATTTTGAAGAGCTTTGGAGTAATCGTTTCTTTTACGAAGTGATCAGACGAGCTTCGTGTGTCAGCGTTTCCTTTCACGAAGTAATTGAGGGAACTTCATATACTGCCTAATATAGTGTGTCAGTAATAGACCACCACTAGGTATATCTGATGTCGTATTGTCGGATAAGGTAGGTCTGGGGTTAAAATACCTCATTGTGTCAGACCAATGCTAGGCAAAGTTATATAGATAACAACCCCTGACTTAATTAGCTTGTTGTATTTACAAACGGAGGTTCGTGGTGAAACTTATTCCATTCCCCTCAATTGATGTATTTATTGATCCTCGTTTGCTTCTAGGGAATTTCCAAAGCAGCATCGTCAGTTTGTTGTTCATATTGATCCTTTAGGCTAGATCTTCTAAGATAGTTGCATAGGATCTATACGTGGGAATCGAAGGGATGGGATAAATTATTTTAGAGATATGATATATCTATGTCAATGATAATAGTTGGATTTGCAGGTTTAAAATATACATTATTATCATAGTGTGGGATTGAAATCCCTATGTACTCACCAGGTTTCCCAACCTGACCGACCCAGTTTATTGTATCACATGTAACTATACGAAATATACATTCTGCTAAGAGATTCAAGGAGTATTAAGCCAATAGTTTAATTACTATAAGGCTTGTAATATTTCGTTATGCTTATGTTTCTATATTGACTATAACATCCTAATGTTTTAATATAAATAAAACACATTTACTCGGAAATACTTTGATAATACATTTATCATATTTTTGGGAATAAATCCCGCAAACTTATTCTTCAAAAAGGATTCTCTGATTTTTAATTAAGCATAAACAAATCGGTCTTTTCTGGCCATGAACATAGGGATGCCACATTAAAGGAAGCTCTTAGGGAGGTCAGGGAAGTATCGTTCATAATCAATATGGATGATGTCATAACTTCTTTCCTAGGTTAGGTATTCTATGATTCTTATCATGAGTATTGTTGTAAGAGTGCAACACTGTATATTCATACAAGAGTTGGTCATAACATAACATATGAACATTTGTTCTGGCGTACATACAAATATTATATTATCTATGAGTTCAAAGTAACATCACATCGACTACCTCTGACTGCATATAACGTGTTTGCTAACATCAGTCATGCGATATGGGCAAGACCTTATTTCCCCAATAGCCATCAGAACATACTAATCATTTTTATTCTATAATTCTTCCAGGTGTTATCGGTTAATGAACACAACGTAATGATAATAATGCTCATTGAGGTAATCTGTAAGTACATTCAACATATTTTTATTCAATGCATTGACATGGAGGTAAAATACTACTAATAAATATTGAATTATTATTTAGTTGTGAAATTACCAAAACTTATAATATTTATTTTTCAGGGAGGTTGACTGGCATACCACCCCATATGTAGAGATGGCGCTTTAGAGGAGGATGCACAAGTCTATTCGATGGCGGGCAACAAAGATCCTGTGACAACCCGGAAATCTTTTCCTTGTAAGTTCAGCCATTCAATCCAACAGTGTATCAAACTCATTTCTACAATCTTTTAGCCTTGTTTAGAGTCTGTTTAAGGGTTCAAACCTCATTACATTCAAGCATTGGTTATAGGATCGAGTTGCGTAAGTTCTTCGCGTTGAAATCAAGCCGAACACTCCAATACTGTACGGCCACACAGATGAGTGTACGGCGGTACACCCATGTTGGCCGTACACCCCTCCATAAGTGTGATATCCCTTCATTCCTAAGTCATTTCTTCAGTTTCCAAGATAAGAACTCGAGTTTTCTCTCAACTATTATCAAGCTTTTCACCCGATCTTCAAGAATCTAAGCCTTTCTTCCGTTTTGATTTATTGTTATCCTTCTTCTCCTATTAACACCCTTTGATTTCATCCATGAAAATCATCTTTTGACTAGATCTTCAAA